TGGTCGGTGCTCATGATGCTCCTGAGCTCAGATTACAATGAAGGCCAAGAAGACCAATGGCTGCAAAAGTGGGTGCTGGCAGCTTGTGCATCATCATCGTCATCGTCCGCTGGTTATCCTGGTAGGTAGCCAGCCAAGCATCAGCCCCAGCCGATGACCACTTACAGCCCTGACAAAGCTTCTAGCGGCAAGGTAACTTCCACTGGTGAGGGAGCTTTACTTCCTGCGACAACCACGTCCATTGTTGCCATACATCCATGGTACTGCCTGTATCCAATGGCTGCCAGGATTGCTGTAGGTACACAACCTTTTTCAAGGCAAACAATACGCCAGCGTTAATCAAGCGCGCTGTAGTGGCCGTCCTGAGCCCAGAATTTAGGTTCTTGAAATGTCTCTTTATTTATATAGAGTAAAGAATCCAAAAATCCTTCATAGCAGCACCCTGCTTTCTAACAGGTGTTTATTAGAGGCAGACTCTGAGATGATTTTGCTTCGTTTTGCGATCAGAGCGCTGCTCATTCATGCGACCAATTTGACAGGTATCCGTCTTGTCAAGTCTTTCATTGTTATTATTCATGCTTCCTCGTGACAGATCGAAGCGGCGCTCGAGCCACCACTGTGACCGGGCTGTCATCGGTCATGGTGGTTGTTCCCCATAGACCCTCTCATTCTCACTCCAGATCGGCGATCTTCAGTTAAATTGTCTCTGTTAGGCATTTTGACAGGAGCCACAAAGACAGGGACAAGGACTTTCGAGCGTGTTCAGAATGAGGCTCTCCATGCTGTTTACTCGTCAACAAAAAGACGAGGCGTCTTAATGAGCAGACTACTAACAGCCGTCTGTGTCTGATCCTGATCCCTTCTCTGGGACGATGCAAGCCGCCCAGGTATTCCTCAGAACAAACCAGCATGAGTCTCTTTAGGCGAACCAGTTACAATACCAGCCAAACCAATAATTTCCTCCAGCCCTCATGATTCAACGAACTTCTTCTATCTCCCCTATTTGCCAAACGCTGCCAAGCGAATTAACTTGATCACACTCGACGTCTAGCTGACATCATCATGGACTTCATGTCTTTTACTGCTTGTCTAACACCCGTTACATTATCATTATCATTCGTGGAAACAACGCGCTTCACCGAATTCCATAATTGAGTTTTCCTTCTTTTGCCTTTTTCTCCCGGAAGCTCCTCAGGGAATTTGGCTCGTCCCATGAATTCTTCTAGTATCGTTTTTACCGATAACTCAATCACACTGCAAATTAGGCTCTCGGGTGGTGCTTTTTGGTCACATACACCCTTCAGCAGTGGGGAGGACTTTCTGGGGCCAGCCCTCAATTCCAATTTCAATGTTTCCATATTAAGACCCGGCCTAGTTGGCCTAACTGGCCTCCCACGGGGGCCTACGGGCTGACGGAATGTAGCCAAACAGGCAGAAGAGCCAGCCACGGAAGACTTGATTATTATTAACTCCATTATGTACTAGGATATTTTATTAACACACCGGACTACTGACAATTACTATCAGTTCGTGGTATGTTATACCCAAGAGCCAACCTTCCAAATACCAAATTTTCCTACAAGATCAAGAAGAAAGAAAGAAGAAGAAAGAATCCCCAGCTGCAGAGTACCAGTTCCTTTACAGTGTTGAAAGGAAAAGCATACCCACTGCGTAACACTTAACATGAATGGCAGACGCCATCCCTCTTCGGAGTCAGGTCGGCTGGCATTTGGACAGGTTTTCTTCCTTCGGTTATTTATGCACTTTGTGTGCCTCGATCAGGACCTCGCGAAGTAGTGGGCCTATCTGAAATCTGAGATGTGACAATAGTGGCAGTATTCCTCTTCATTACACAAAAGGCTGAACTATTGTTCCACAGGAAGCTCAGCTTCTGTCGTGCTGGTCACAATCGTAGCCAGGTCTACATTTTCCATCCCATTTTATTGGATTTTGCGTCTTGTCTTATTAACTTGTGCTTCCACCGGTGCCTGAAGCAGCGGCTGGTTTGAGATGAAGGCGTTTTCGCATGACGTCTGTGTGTTCAAAGACTTTGTGTGACGTCAAACAGAGCGCGCCACAAGAGATCAACCAATCTCAAGTTGTGGGGTGAGCCACGCCCATGCTGTCTCTGGCGACACCGTGTCTAGCCTCCGATTTATGGATCTGATAGAAGCTCCCAGTAGAACCTCTGGGAATCATTAACACTCCAGACCTGGTGATAGGATGTCAAAATAAACTCTTTAAAGAACCCCCTTATTACTGTGCTAACTTACTGGGGTTTTTTTTATCGCTTAGGATCGAGCCCTAGCCTGAGTAGATTTTTATCTGCTGCAGAGATCCAGGCACCTGGGTTCAATTCTATGCTGTAATTTTGTTATCGTCTCAAACAACAAGATCAATCAGAAGCACAAACAACCATTGCCAGACAGCCGGTGATTAGTCTCTTATTATATCCACAGAAATCTGTTTTTTTTTTAATATATACATATATAATTGTTTATTTTTCTGAAGAAGCTGATATTACTTGCAGAAATCCTAGGCTGAGAACTGGATAAACACGATGACAACGTAATCGCTGTGGAACAGAAATTACATTGGATGCTATAGTACCACGCATTTGATCAACTGAGCCTGTTTGGTCAACGTTATATTGGATCTTCAGAAGATCGCAGGGTCCCCTTGGGCTGCCTATCACTTTTTACTGTTTGTGCAAGTTTCCAATCACAAATCATAAAGCAATAGGTAGGCAGGTGTGAGTCGGTGAGGAAGATTTGTCCAAATAGACCTCCCACACCAGAAGATAAATACATTATGGAGTAGGTATACTGCTTTGAAAGGCATTGATAGTTTATCTCCTGTGTCGTTAGTCTCATACCCAAGCGGAGATTTTTAGGCAAAGAATGTGGGACTTCTCTGTCAGCCAGTGTTGACATTCGATGTTGGATTATGCGAGAAGTTCAACTACCTAGTACATCTGTCCTGGTCTATCTTGGCTACCCTGGATTCAGCAGCCGGTCGGACATCAACGCCATGACCGTTTTTCTGTTTGATGGATGCTGGCTCATGTTACCTTGAGCTTGGGGTCTAGTGGGGTGTGGGTTATCGAATGACCTGAAGATCTTGTGTCCAAAACATAAAAAACCTGCCATATGTGCATGGATAAGACAAGGTTTCTTCATTCGATGTACTCCGTATGTGCCCATGGTTTCTAAAGTCTCAGCCTTCAACGTGCCTCGCTTTCATCTTAGCTTTGTATTGGCCTTTTGGCATGATTGAGCCTTGCACTTGACGGTTTGGCTTCGGCTTCGGCTTTGGCTCAGCTGGTATTTATCGCAAATAGTAAGGTAGTAATGCTATGAGAGACAACCAAAGAGATATGTACCTTCAATTGCGTGTAGGTGAAGGTGATAATACCGGGGCTAGCTTGTCGATTATTCACCGTCATAGTTGCGTTGTGAAGGAAATCTAGCGATCTAGGTAAGTTAGTCGTTTAGGAGGCTCGGCACTTGGGCAGTAAAATTGGCTGTCTATCATATCATATAGCATGCTATTTACAGCACCATACCTAGTATATAATGAACTTAGCCGATATATGTGCCAAATTTAGGGTCCAGATCTCGGTTCACTAGTACATAGTAAAACGCACTGTAGTATGTTTTCCACTGGTATCTCTAGTATTGGGCACTTTGAGGAACGCCCAGACCGCAGTCATTAGTCCGAATCGTAAAGATGAGAGCTAGTCAGATTTTAAGTAGAGTATACAGACATAATAAGGGCCAGACAGGCCTAAGAGTCTCCCGATTATGATATGCATTCTCAAAACGACTTGTTTCTTATATGATAAGTCTCCTGGCTAGCAATTGTATGTATATCTTGGGACTCTCTAATGTCTAGCTACAAGAATTGGGTTTACCTGAGCTTTGTATCGCCTCGTCTGTTACTGCGCAACCTCCCAGACATGATGATAGCGATGACTACTCGCAAAATACATCACCAAGGGGCATAGCCGAATTATATGGTATACACAAGTTTGTTCTCTGTCTTATGCTGCTGCGCCAGAAACACCTTCATTGGCAGAAAGTAGTATCATTTATCTCTTGCCAAGAAGTTCCACAAGACGGCAGAGCGTGTTTGCGCGGGGACATTTCATCACAGGACCTGACGGGTGGAAGAAAACACCAGAATTCTTCTCTATCTCGCTCCAGCAACAGGGGTTCCTCTCTCATAGGGGCAGAGAGGGGTTTAGGTCTCTCATCAGATATGTGAATGAGTGAAATCTCGGGATTGTAGACGAAGGATTATCCAAAGTCAGTCCCGGAGTCATGTTGTTTAAGACTCATCTTGAAATTTATGTCATGCCAAAATTGAAACTTCAAACTGTCTTAAAAATGTTTCGTCAGAACGTTTTATGATAGATTATTTCTGGTTATTGGATATGTTCGGCTTCAGGTCCTGGTAATGCGATATGACAGATGATATCACTCGAGCAATAGTTCAATATGAAAGTTGGAGGGCATGCACATTTTGTACATTTGCCCTGAAGAAAGGGCGAATTTATGACTACGAGTCTTTGAATGGTCAGTATGATATGCAACACTGTAGCTCTTGAGGTCGATACAACTCAGAAGTCGAGAACGCTTAGTTGCTAGTCTCATCTCAGACATATTTCCCATGTTGCATCGTGAGACTGGTAAATTGAGTATATTATGATAGTTGAGCGCCGACACCTAGGTAATAAAGAATTCGGGAAAAAAGAATTGAATTAAACATGATGAAATGTCGCTCGCTGATAGCGGCGAGAGGCGCGACTACTCCCAGCAAATTCCTCACAATTGTGCCAGAGGCACAATACAGAAGCTTCAGGACGGTTCCAAACACTGAGAACATACACCAGACGCCGTGTTCTAAGGCCATTCGCGAACTCATCGCACATAAGAGTACCTACAGATTCCATGTAATCGGGTTTCCAGCAGTGGTCAAGCGATGCAGACCAAGGACGGTCAAGTAGAGCCAGGACCTGGGAAGCCAAGCTTTTGCTTCTGAATCCGAGGCACAACACCCACCAAAGTGAAAATAGCCAGCAAGAGCACGGCCCACAGCTTGATCTTGAGCACATTGTAGTTGTAGTCCGTCTCGACAGCACTAACTACGGTAGCCAAGAGCAGAACAAAGATGATATATCCGCTCCAGCGATGATACTTCCAGACAGCCTTGGCGTTGTCCACGCCGCCATACAGGGCTGGCGTAGCCCACATGGTGAAACCAACGCCGTACTGGAAGAGAAGAACGATAGAAGTGATGACACCGAGATAACCATGGACAGAGTGAAAGTGAGGACCGTTGTTTGCAATCTTGTTGTACTCGATGATGGTCACGCCAGCAACAAGAATCAAAAAGGCCGCGAGGTTGAGACTGGCATGTACGCGCTGGCCGACACGCTTCTGTTCTGCCGTATGAGTCGGCTGCAGACTCAGAACAGACTGAGCCAGGGTGAGAACCGCGAGAGATTGAAGGAGTGGGTGAGCTGAGAAGAGGATCAAAGGCTTAGAGAGGACGCTTGCCCAGATCAGAATAGTGAGTAGGACCACGCCTAGCTGAGCTACTATCCCAGTACCTGATATACCGTAAAGTCAGCTATATGTCGGTTGTTTGCAAATTCGAGGCTTACCGAGAACGAGATTCTTGATCAAGGGAACCCCATCTTCTTGCGCAGCATCGCCGGGTCGACCGAGGAGGGGCTCGGTCTCTCTGGCTGACAAATCTTCGATTGGAGGGAATCGCTCTGGGACACCTGTAGCACTCGCCATTGTGAGGTGAACTGACAGGAAGAGTTGTCTTCTGAGCGTGAGACTCAAGCTCTGTGTGTGCGATCTGCAACCAAAATAGCAGGTAAAGAGGTGCCGAGTCGAATTCTGTAGCCACTTATTCACGCTCCGGGCTTTTCAACTGCGCATGCACTTGGAGGGTATTCGCAGATGCAGATATGTCACGTATGTAAGTGAGAAGTTTACAATGACAGATTCGTGTTTTCGTTTCGCTTCTGTTTGCAATCACCGTTGACGTCAATGAGATGACTGAGCTTTGGCCAATCACAGGTCATCTTTTTGCAATAGCGCGGGGTAGAGTGACGGATACATCATGTAGCGCAGTGATCGCGTCAATGTCTAGGGTACCTAAGGAAGAAGAAAATGAAACTGGAACAGAAGTATTGGCAGATGATCTATGTATAAACCTGGCATAATTAGTATCTATTACTCGATATTATCGAGCAAGCAGCTTGAGCTACCAGATTAGCTCTTCAACTATCGTTAAATTGACCCGCCACAAACGATGCTCTGGTTGGTCCATCGTCGTTTTAAAGGTCCCTGAAAAACGGTCGGACGGCTAAACGACACAATCCTCCACTCCCCCGAAGTCGGCGACGGGACAGCAATTGGTCACACGGCCGGCGGCCAGCCGAAACTCCAGACTTATCTGCAGCTGCATCACAATAAAGGCTGGAATTGGTGAAGGATCGTACGTAAGAGGATCATCAGATTGTCTGCAGTATCGAAACGTCCAATAAAAATAAGATATCAGACCAAAAACCCGGAAGCATTTGCCATGATCCAATATTAACGCCATATCAGTGGGCAGTTCGGAAGTGGCCGATCTCCCCTTCTCCGACTAATAGAACAGATCATGGTTCTCAGCCGAACGAAATAAGGCGATAAGACCGTTTTACAAAATTGTTCAACCCCCAAGTTCAAGAGAACTCTAGATCCGCAGACTTTCATTCTACATTGTATTCACACACACATCATGACTTCCATTGCTGACGAAATCGAATACAAGCTCGACAATGTCGAGGTCGCAACGGTTCGTCCAGACGATATTAACAAGACTTTCCGTTCAACCTGTATTGGTATGAACTTCTATGTGCTCATTTACACTGATCCGTGGTAACAATGCTGAACAACTACAGATCTTATCTCCAGTGGTCTTGGTGGCCAAGTCCTTGGCTACTCTGACCAATGGTTCTGCGAGGCGTCCAACTTGTTGAACCCCAGAGCTCCGATTGCTCAGCCAGGTAAGATGGTCTTCACAGGTGCTTGGTATGATGGTTGGGAGACTCGACGGCACAATCAGGAGCCCTTCGACTACGCCATAATCAAGTTGGGCGTCGCCTCTGGCACGATTGAAGGGGTCGAGATCGATACAGCCTTCTTCAACGGGAACCATGCCCCTGCTATCTCCGTCGAAGGTGTCTTCAGCCAAGATGATGCCAAGGTTGTTTCATGGGGAGGAGATCGAGGAGAATGGGAGACCATCCTTGGGATCCAGGAGTGTGGTGCTTCTCAGCGATTTGCCTGGAAGCTCAAGACTCCTAGCCAAAAGGCATACACGCATGTGAGGCTCAACATGTACCCCGATGGTGGTATCGCACGATTCCGTCTCTATGGGCACGCCGTCCCTGTCTTTCCTGAAGACAAGGATGCCATCTTCGATCTTGCTGCAGCTCAAAATGGCGGTATTGCTGTGTCGTGCAGCGACGAACACTTTGGAACCAAGGACAACCTTATCATCCCTGGCCGAGGAAAGGATATGGGCGACGGTTGGGAGACAAAGCGATCACGAGGAAAAGACCATACAGATTTCGCCATCATCAAGCTCGGTGCCCCTGGATACATCGAGAATTGGGTTGTCGACACTGCGCACTTTAGAGGCAACTATCCTCAAAAGGTCTCAATTGAAGGTTGTGAGTGGACAGGCCATGGCGATCCTGTCGCAGATGCCACAGCCTGGAGAGTCTTTGTACCCCCCAGCAAAACAGGACCCGATCAGGAGCATGAGTTTGAGAGCGAAGAGAAGGAGAAGAAGGCTCTGGTGACCCACGTAAAGCTTATCATGATTCCTGATGGTGGAGTGAAGCGATTGCGGGCATTTGGCAAGCGAGCTGTCTAGGGTACTCGGCGGACGAACTTTGGATATGTTCGTGATGAATACAAATGAAATGAATTAGCATAACTAAGATTGGCATGTATTGAAAATCATCTTACTATCAGGTGGATACATCGTCAACCTCAAACAATTCGCGTCTTATTTCACGCATCACAAACGTTAGGTGCCATGTCTATGGATCATATCGGTTTTATTTGAAGCAGAGACCTTAGGGAGTACCGGATTAGGTACAAAACTATATCCAGTAATGCTGTGGCTGTACCTCAGTAACGACATTCTTGTATGTGTCCTTGTAGGTACTCCGTAGAGGTGATAATCTTAGGCGGTATCTCTTAGCGGAGCAGCTCCAAAACCTAAGCGGAATGACGGTTTCTCCACGACTTCACCAGGGACAAAGTGGGTAGGGCAACTCAGACGACATCAACACAAGCAACCAACTTCAGCTCCAACAATATCTCGATCCGATAACGCCTACTTACCGACAAAACAACAGAGAACTAATACGATTACATTTCTTTATCGCCTAACCATCTCTTGCAAGATTCCATGAACCACGCGACGAATCTGAATCTGTCTCTGCCCCTCCCTCCATCATGGATCTAGGGGACTCTATCAACCCCGAAGGACAGCCTGAGGAGAAGCCTCGCACTCTCCCTGCAGATCTACCCAGATCTCTCGATGACAGAAGGCATGTGCCCAACGAGCACCTCATCACCGAGACGGAGATGTACGATGGTTGGCAAGGTTCGTCGCATCGACACTTCGCATTTGCATTTGCGCTTCTTGTATGACCCGACACGTCACTGACACATTTGTAACAGGCCAGTCCCAGTTCCTCACGACACCAGCCATAGCAAAGCCTCTTAACTTCGGCAATCTGTCGCTAAACGACCCCGAATACGAGGATGACATTACGAAAGGACCCAAAGACAGCGACACGCGATTAATGGAAATGCTGGCCGCCCAGGCAGCGCACCAAGCAGCTCCTGCTTTTGAGAACGAAGATGAGGTTGTGAATAGTGAAAGTCTGTCCGAGGCGGAGAAGAAGGAGAAATTGCAAAAGGCCCTCAACATGGCTGCAAGTAACGGCGATGTCGACAGAATTCGAAAGCTTCTCAATGGGAAGGCAAAAGACTATCTTGATTTGGACGCTGAAGACGAGGATGGAACACCGCCCCTTATCTATGCTAGCTGCTTTGTGGGTGAGCCGCCATATGTTGCACATAAGTCACTAACCTCCAGTTAGGGCCATGAACCTGTTGTTCAAGCATTGATCGATGCAGGTGCCGACGTAAACAAACAAGACCGCAATCAATGGACAGCTCTAATGTGGGCCATGACAAATCGACACAAGGGTATTGCTAAACTACTCCTCGATAATAATGCCTCCTCCGACCAAAAGACCTCGTCGGGACGAACAGCGTTCGACTTTGTCCCCCCGGATAGCGAGATGTCGTTCTATCTCCACGACAATGGCTACAATATTGGAAGCGCCGGAACGGATGACTTTTACCGACCTGGTTTCTCCCAGGATAGATTTGAAGAAGAGATGGCCGAGAATGAGATGCGAAGAAGGCTGATGATGGAGAGTGCTCGTGATCTCGAGGTTGACCTGGGAAACGTGGGTATGGATGACCAACCCGAGGTAGGGTCCAAATCAAAATGGTGAAGAGCTGTTGGGCTGACTGATAGTAAAGCCTGTCGATGAGTTTGAGGAAGAGCAGCAAGAATTCGACTGGAATCGCTGCTTACACGATCAAATGTTTGTTTTTCAAGAACACGAACTTGAACGCATCCTTGATATCGTTATTACCAATATGACGCCGCAAAGATCACCGACACAGAAACCCGTGCCAGCCAATATGATATTTCTTAGCGCACGATATGCGCATTATCACTCAAGCCCCGAACTTCTGGAGCGACTCTTGGTGTCAGCTATGGATTACATCAACGACGTTGTTGAGAGGTGTCAGTGGGACATGACTATTCTAGCCTTTTGGATCTCGAACGCCACCCTACTGCTTCACTACTTGAAGAAAGACCCTGGGCTTTTCGAGGCAACGGGTGAGTTTCAGGCGCAGCTGGCTGAATTGATAAACGAGATCTTTATTCTTATTGTGCGAGATGCTGAGCGACGTCTGGACAAGGTCTTGGACGTAGCCATGCTGGAACACGAGACTATTCCCGGATTCGAGGATATTACTTTCCAAAATGAGTGGAAGCTCTTCAAGCGAAAGAAAGAAGTCAAAGAGGAGCCACTAGAAAAGCGATTCAGACCACCATCACCGAAGCAGCGAGCAAAGCCAGCCCCCCGAAACGTCACCTCACTTCTCTCCTCTACTCTATTTGTACTCGACCTTTACGATATCCACTCTGTGATCACTTCGCAAATCATTTCCCAGCTTATTTACTGGATTGGAGCAGAGCTCTTCAACCGCATTATGTCAAATCGAAAGTACTTGGCCAGAACAAAGGCCATGCAGATCCGCATGAACATCTCAATCCTAGAAGATTGGGCTCGGACAAATAACAGACAGGCAGAGCACTTTGAAGGAGGTGAAATGCGCTCTTCAGGGGAGTCAACAATGGACGCTGCTCGAAGACATCTGGCACCCGTAATCCAGCTGCTCCAATGGCTCCAGTGCTTTTCATCACTTAATGGAGATGATATGGAGGCTCTAGTTATCACACTACAGCAGCTCAAGAGACTGAGTCCCCAGCAACTCATCCACTCAGCCAACCACTACAGGCCAGAAGTGGGCGAGAAGGGGTTGCCAAAAAGTGCTATGAAATACTTGATCAATCTACAGAAAGAGGCGGCGCTCAAACGGGAGAGGCGGCGGAGTGGTATACCTTCACCACAAAAGTCAGGCCAGGACAGCACGCCGGTGACACCGGTAAAGGGCCGGTCAAACGGGAACAATCTCGCCACTCCTGGAAGTACTGCCAGTCCTCCAGAAGATGATTGGGACGAAGATGATGACATGCCAGAGCATCTGCTGCTGGATCCCGCCCTAATGTTGCCTTTCGTGCTGCCGTCGGTAACTGACATGCTCGTAACTTACGGCGCTGGACTTGGTGGAGTTAACCGTGAGCGAGAGCGCAAGTATATCCCCACAGTGCCACCGGAGTTTCTTGAGAAGTTAGAGGTGAGCGGTGGAACTAGGAAGGGCCCCATGTTCGGCGAAGCAGATTGGGAGAATGAAGAAGTTTGAGGAAGTTACACAGGCCGTCAAGGATGCATGACCAACCCGGCAGACAGCGATACTCGACCTGGAAGATCTAATGATGGGGGAGGGCTGCTTCTGAGACTCTTGCGTAAGCAATGGGGTCTCTTGCAGTTGACATTTAGGACTCGGTGATAGAACGTGGACGTCAAGGAGCATCCCACGGGTCAGATTTGGCGAATCAAGTCAGTGGTAGCAGAGACTGCGGAAAGTCTCCTATGCAACCTGTGAAGGGCAGAAAGCCCTGAGTGATGGGAGAAACCCCACGGTGAAGGACGCGCATCCACTGCCACGTTCTCAACGCGTTGAAAGACTATCACCAGACGGTGGAGTATTGGCAAACGGCCAATTCTACGCAGTTTCCAAGGCCGAAGAGGCAAAATGGAATATGTCTTCATTTGTAATTCTAACGCGAGCGATATTGTATAGTTCAGCATATGGCAAATGGAGTCATGCAAGGAGAATCTAAAAATCCGATATTATGCCAACTCGTTATTGCTTTTTGCTACCATAATCCGTCCATGAAAGGCATATGCCAGCCGTCTCAGTTCTCCCATTTACCAGCCACCTGATCGAACAGTGACTGTTTGACTCATCAGACGTGTGGTTGCAGAGCAAACTTCAAGCTTTGTGGGCCAAATGCGCCATACTCCAGCCTAGCAAGGGCTACGTATCCACTTCAGAACAACGCGGCGTTGTCTTTTGCTGCATGCACTCAACCGTTGGCAGTTGGGATGTCCCGGTACGGAGTGAGCTAGAGGGAGTGCACTTTTTTTCGTTTCCCATTGTGCGTTGTTTGTGTGCCCTACCTATTTCAGACCCGTCCTCAATAAGCGTTTGTTGCTTGTTCGTCTGGGTATTTCGTCACCTTGCCAGCTTCGAAAATCTACAGAAGCGGCGCAGGAAAAAGACGATAAAAATTACTTACCGCTATTCGTTCCTGTCTCCCGCGATATCATCAGGAGAAGGGGGAAAAAAAGAAGTCCCCACTGACCACACGGCACACTGATCAACGTGGAGGAAAATGCAGCAGCAAGGGGTTGCCCGATGAGTTGGCATCGGCAGACCAGGACATGGGTCTAGAGCGGTGACAACTGTGTACAGTTGCAGCGTTCAGAGAGGCCTTGCTATGGGCAGAACGTGGACTCACTATGGCACCATAGCCCGGCCGGGACGGAAGGGTACGTGCAGCCTTCCCGGTGTCATCTACATACGATATATCTTCCTTTTTGTTTTCATTATTATGCAGGTTCCCTATAAGCCAAACGGGGAGTATCTCGTGTGCTTGATGTTGCCTTAGCCGGCTCAACACCAGAGCAGGCCAAAGTCCGATCCCTGCATGTATCCCAGCATAAAAATTTCCCTAGGTTCGGGAGCGGGTAGATCTTCAGGGCAGATGGACATCCCACAGATCGCTCTGTACTCTGTAAAGATTCGCGATAATCATGTGAAGACTGAGACAATTTCTAATTTTTCTTTTTCGTCTTTGCCAAGATGATTGACTCGTTCTTGCTGGGGAAACGAAAAGAAGCATTTCGTATTTCGCGGTGCTTCATGTAAGGGAGAAATAGGTTCCGTGGTGGGCCTTGGTTAAGAATGTGATAAAGTGTAAGAGCTCGCATAAAAAAGTCTCAATTAAGCACCGCCTATCGGGAGATCATCATCTGAGTTTGACCCAGAGCTAGGAGACCACTAACTCAGTAGTCGTAAACTCATAATTACTTCGAGAAGATGTTTTGGTCTTGAATTGCAAAGTCAGAGGGAGTAAAGATGAAC